GATGAACAGAGTTATTTGGATAAGGGTAAAGAGGTTTTTGGTGGCATTTATGCATTTGGAAAAGGCACATGATAGGGTGGATAGAGGGGAAGGCAATGTGGCAGATGTTGCAAATGTATGGAATAGGAGGTAGGTTATTGAAGACAGTGAAAAGTTTTTATGAGGATATTGAGGCTCAGGTTAGAGTATGTAGGCAAGAGGGGGATTATTTCCCAGTAAAAGTAGGCCGTAGACAGAGATCTGTGATCTCACCATGGTTGTTCAACATATTTATAGATGGAGTAGTAAGATAAGTGAATGCTTGGGAATTGGCAAGAGGTGTGGGGTTAAAAGATAAAGAATTAACACAAAGTAGGAGTTGTCGCAATTGATCTTTTCTTTTTCTGTCTCATAAACACGCTAGATAACAGGGATATCTTGCTACTCCTACTTACACTTTGGTCACACTTCACAGACACGCACATGCATATATATATACATACATCTAGGTTTTTCTCCTTTTTCTAAATAGCTCTTGTTCTTCTTTATTTCTTCTATTGTCCATGGGGAAGTGGAAAAGAATCTTTCCTCCGTAAGCCATGCGTGTCGTATGAGGCGACTAAAATGCCAGGAGCAATGGGCTAGTAACCCCTTCTCCTGTAGACATTTACTAAAAAAGAGAAGAAGAAAAACTTTATAAAACTGGGATGCTTAAATGTGCGTGGATGTAGTGCGGATGACAAGAAACAGATGATTGCTGATGTTATGAATGAAAAGAAGTTGGATGTCCTGGCCCTAAGCGAAACAAAGCTGAAGGGGGTAGGGGAGTTTCAGTGGGGGGAAATAAATGGGATTAAATCTGGAGTATCTGAGAGAGTTAGAGCAAAGGAGGGGGTAGGTAATGTTAAATGATCAGTTGTGGAAGGAGAAAAGAGAATATAATGTGTAAATTCAAGAATTATGTGGATTAAAGTAAAGGTTGGATGCGAGAAGTGGGTCATAATAAGCGTGTATGCACCTGGAGAAGAGAGGGATGCAGAGGAGAGAGAGAGAGATTTTGGGAGATGTTAAGTGAATGTATAGGAGCCTTTGAACCAAGTGAGAGAGTAATTGTGGTAGGGGACCTGAATGCTAAAGTAGGAGAAACTTTTAGAGAGGGTGTGGTAGGTAAGTTTGGGGTGCCAGGTGTAAATGATAATGGGAGCCCTTTGATTGAACTTTGTATAGAAAGGGGTTTAGTTATAGGTAATACATATTTTAAGAAAAAGAGGATAAATAAGTATACAAGATATGATGTAGGGCGAAATGACAGTAGTTTGTTGGATTATGTATTGGTAGATAAGACTGTTGAGTAGACTTCAGGATGTAGCTACACTGAGAGTAAAAGGTAGATGGGATACAAGGAGAATAGAAGCATCAGGAAAGAGAGAGGTGAAGGTTTATAAACTAAAAGAGGAGGCAGTTAGGGTAAGATATAAACAGCTATTGGAGGATAGATGGGCTAATGAGAGCATAGGCAATGGGGTCGAAGAGGTATGGGGTAGGTTTAAAAATGTAGTGTTAGAGTGTTCAGCAGAAGTTTGTGGTTACAGGAAAGTGGGTGCGGGAGGGAAGAGGAGCGATTGGTGGAATGATGATGTAAAGAGAGTAGTAAGGGAGAAAACGTTAGCATATGAGAAGTTTTTACAAAGTAGAAGTGATGCAAGGAGGGAAGAGTATATGGAGAAAAAGAGAGAGGTTAAGAGAGTGGTGAAGCAATGTAAAAAGAGAGCAAATGAGAGAGTGGGTGAGATGTTATAAACAAATTTTGTTGAAAATAAGAAAAAGTTTTGGAGTGAGATTAAACAAGTTAAGAAAGCCTAGAGAACAAATGGATTTGTCAGTTAAAAAATAGGAGAGGAGAGTTATTAAATGGAGATTAGAGTTATTGGGAAGATGGAGGGAATATTTTGAGGAATTGTTAAATGTTGATGAAGATAGGGAAGCTGTGATTTCGTGTATAGGACAAGGAGGAAAACATCTTGTAGGAGTGAGGAAGAGCCAGTTGTGAGTGTGGGGGAAGTTCGTGAGGCAGTAGGTAAAATGAAAGGGGGTAAGGCAGCCGGGATTGATGGGTTTAAAGATAGAAATGTTAAAAGCAGGTGGGGATATAGTTTTGGAGTGTTGGTGAAATTTATTAATAAATGTATGGAAGAGGGTAAGGTACCTAGGGATTGGCAGAAAAGCATGCATAGTTCCTTTGTATAAAGGCAAAGGGGATAAAGAGAGTGCAAAAATTATAGGGGGATAAGTCTGCTGAGTATCCCTGGTAAAGTGTAAGGTAGAGTTTTATTGAAAGAATTTAAGAGTAAGAGGAGACTGGGATAGCAGATGAAAAAGGGAGGCTTTAGGAAAGGTGGGGGGTGTGTGGACCAGGTGTTTACAGTGAAACATAAAAAGTGAACATATTTAGATAAGGCTAAAGAGGCTTTGTGGCATTTATGGATTGGAAAAGGCGTATGACGGGGTGGATAGGGGGCAATGTGGCAGATGTTGCAAGTGTATGGTGTAGGAGGTAGGTTACTGAAAGCAGTGAAGAGTTTTTACGAGAATAGTGAGGCTCAAGTTAGAGTATGTAGGAAAGAGGGAAAAATTTTTTCCCCGTAAAAGTAGGCCTTAGACAAGGATGTTGATGTCGCCGTGGTTTTTAATATATTTATAGATGGGGTTTGTAAGAGAAGTAAATGCGAGGGTCTTGGCAACAGGCGTGGAGTTAAAAGATAAAGAATCACACACAAAGTGGGAGTTGTCACAGCTGCTCTTTGCTGATGACACTGTGCTCTTGGGAGATTCTGAAGAGAAGTTGCAGAGATTGGTGGATGAATTTGGTAGGGTGTGCAAAAGAAGAAAATTAAAGGTGAATACAGGAAAGAGTAAGGTTATGAGGATAACAAAAAGATTAGGTGATGAAAGATTGAATATCAGATTGGAGGGAGAGAGTATGGAGGAGGTGAATGTATTCAGATATTTGGGAGTGGACGTGTCAGTGGATGGGTCTATGAAAGATGAGGTGAATCATAGAATTGATGAGGGAAAAGAGTGAGTGGTGCACTTAGGAGTCTGTGGAGACAAAGAACTTTGTCCTTGGAGGCAAAGAGGGGAATGTATGAGAGTATAGTTTTACCAACGCTCTTATATGGGTGTGAAGCATGGGTGATGAATGTTGCAGCGAGGAGAAGGCTGGAGGCAGTGGAGATGTCATGTCTGAGGGCAATGTGTGGTGTGAATATAATGCAGAGAATTCGTAGTTTGGAAGTTAGGAGGAGGTGCGGGATTACCAAAACTGTTGTCCAGAGGGCTGAGGAAGGGTTGTTGAGGTGGTTCGGACATGTAGAGAGAATGGAGCGAAACAGAATGACTTCAAGAGTGTATCAGTCTGTAGTGGAAGGAAGGCGGGGTAGGGGTCGGCCTAGGAAGGGTTGGAGAGAGGGGGTAAAGGAGGTTTTGTGTGCGAGGGGCTTGGACTTCCAGCAGGCATGCGTGAGCGTGTTTGATAGGAGTGAATGGAGACAAATGGTTTTTAATACTTGACGTGCTGTTGGAGTGTGAGCAAAGTAACATTTATGAAGGGGTTCAGGGAAACCAGCAGGCCGGACTTGAGTCCTGGACATGGGAAGTACAGTGCCTGCACTCTGAAGGAGGGGTGTTAATGTTGCAGTTTAAAAACTGTAGTGTAAAGCACCCTTCTGGCAAGACAGTGATGGAGTGAATGATGGTGAAAGTTTTTCTTTTTCGGGCCACCCTGCCTTGGTGGGAATCGGCCAGTGTGATAATAAAATAAAATAATAACAAAGTAGGAGTTGTCGCAATTGATCTTTGCTGATGACACTGCTTTTGGGAGATTCTGAAGAGGAGTTGCAGTGGTTGGTTCATGATTTTGGTAGGGTATGTAACAGAAGGAAGTTAAAAGTGAATATAGGAAAGAGTAAGGTGATGAGGATAACAAAAAAAAATTAGGTAACAAGATTGGATATCAGATTGGAGGGAGAGAGTATGGAGGAGGTGAATGTGTTCTGATATTTGGGAGTGGATGTGTCAGTAGATGGGTATGTGAAAGATAAGGTGAATCACAGAATTAACAAGAAGCAAAAGGTGAGTGGTGCACTGAGGAGTCTGTGGAGACAGAACTTTATCCATGAAAGCAAAGAGGGGAATGTATGAGTGTAGTTATACCAGCGCTCTTGTATGGGTGTGAGGCATGGGTTGTGAATGTTGCAACAAGAAGGCTGGAGGCAGTAGAGATGTCATGTCTGAGAGCAATGTGTGGTGTGAATATAATGCAGAGAATCTGTAGTTTGGAGATTAGGAGTAGGTGTGGGATTACCAAAACTGTTATCCAGAGGGCTGAGGAAGGGTTATTCAGATGGTTTGGACATGTAGAGAGGATGGAACGAAATAGAATGACCGAGAGAATACAAATCTGTAGTGGAGGGAAGGCGGGGTAGGGGTCGGCCTAGGAAAGGTTGGAGGGAAGGGGTAAAGGAGGTTTTGTGTGTGAGGGGCTTGGACTTTCAGCAAGCGTGCATGAGCATGTTAGACAGGAGCGATGGGAAGTACATTGTCTGCACTCTGAAGGAGGGGTGTTAATGTTGCAGTCTTATAACTATAGAGTAGGCATACCTTTGGCAAGACAGTGATGGAGTGAACGATGATGAAAGTTTTTCTTTTTTGGGCCACCCTGCCTTGGTGGGAAACGGCTGATATGTTAATAAAAAAAAATTTGTTTTCATTAGTGAAATCCTTTATATCAGTTTGGCCTTAATGGGAGAAGCAATACTCTGTAAATCAAAATTAAATTTTAAAATGAAAAAGTTGGTAAATAAATTTGGGAAAAGTTGAGAAAATGGGTACTATTATATGGAAGTTAGTATACAATAGAGTACTGCAGTGTCTACACTAATAACTTTTCCTATAGACATTCTTGTTTATTGTACTTGTGAAATCCCTTTACTAATTACTTAATTAAAATTTTTTGTTAACAGTCTGTCATTCAGAGGCCTGAGGTGAACATATCTACCCCAGTAAAGGAGTTTTTGGCCTATGGATTAGATTCATCAGTGTCATTTGTTAAGAAGCCTCTTGAGCTGAATGTTCATCGCTTAGACAAGGTAAAGCAATGTGTGCTTCATACTGTGATCTAATTTATATTTCAGTTTTTATTTTATGTGTCAAGAGCACTCTTAGTGCACTTCATAACATCTGATGTTTGTTGCATTCAGAACATATAATAAAAGTAAACTAGACCAAGTTGAGGTTTAGGATTAAATATTTAATATTACCTGTATTACAAGATATTCAGAACATTAACATTTGTTGTAAATTCCCCCAGGTGCTGTATGACCCCTGTGGGTGATGTACATGTTTTCCTCCATGAATATACAACAAAAATAATACAGTATTTTGAAGTTCAGTACCTATATCCAAAATAACACATCAAAAACTGTAGATATACTCTCAGAGAACAGCTATGTTGCTTTGTATTGTTTATACAGTGCACTTATCTATAGTAGTAATAATAATAATATGTGAACATAGTGAACTTAGATGAGTGTAAGGTGATGAGGGTATCAAACGATTTAGATAAAGAAAAATTGGATATCACATTGGATTGAAGGAGTATCGAAGAAGTGAATATGTTCATATATTTGGAAGTTGATTTGTCAATGAATGAGTTTATGAAGGATGAGGTTAACCATAGAATTGATGAAGGAAAAAAGATGAGTGGTGCATTGAGGTATCTGTGGAGACAAAAAACATTATCCATGGAGGCAAAGAAGGGTACGTAAGAGAGTATAGTGGTACCAACACTTGTATGGGTGTGAAGCATGGGTTGTAAATGCTGCAGCAAGGATGCAGTAGAGATGTCATTTCTAAGGGTAATGTGTGGTGTAAGTATTATGCAGAGAATTCGTAGTGTGGAAATTAGGAGGAGGTGTGGAGTTACTAAAAGTATTAGTCACAGAACTGAAGAAGGGTTGTTGAGGTGGTTTGATCATTTAGAGAGAATGGAACAAAGTAGAATGACCTGAAGAGCATATAAATCTGTAGGGGAAGGAATGCAGGGTAGGGGTTGTCCTTGAAAAGGTTGGAGGGAGGGAGTAAAGTAGGTTTTGTGGGTGAGGGGCTTGGACTTCCAGCAAGCGTGCATGAGCGTGTTGGATAGGAATGAATATAGACAAATGGTTTTTGGGACCTGATGAGCTGTTGGAGTGTGAGCAGGGTAATATTTTGTGACGGGATTCAGGGAAACTGGTTAGCTAGACTTGAGTCCTGGAAATGGGAAGTACAATACCTACACTTTAAAGGATGGGTTTGGGATATTGGCTCTTTGCAGTGACATATAAACTGTTGTATCTGGGTGCCTCTGCAAGACTGTGTGACTGATGGTGAAGGCGTTTCTTTTTTGGGTCACCCTGTGTCAGTGGGAGATGACCAACATGCTAAAAAAAAAAAAAAAAAAAAAATTAAGGTCAAGTGCCTCTGTCAAGAATCCCTTGGCTGCTGCTTTACAATTCATTGAGATGAGATTGAAAGTTTTCATAGTACATATCACCTGTGATGTATGCATCCAGTGAAGTGTCATGATTTTTAAACTAGTAAAAATCAGCTGTGCATTTGTGAAGCTGTGCATTATCTGACTGTGCAATATGCGGGGTTTTATATTGCACATTCACTTGAAAAAGTATTTTACCATTTATGTTATATTCATAGGTTTGGCTAAGCATTTAATATATTATCTTTTTTCCTTTGTCAGTTCAATGTTTTGTGTCATTCCAATAATATAACAGAACTGTGTGTTTTTGTAAAACAAGAAATTTTTCTTAATATTTCTTTAATTTGCAGCTTCTAGCCAAGACTGTGTCAGGTGTGTTTCATAGTTTGAAAACAGCTCTGCCTAGTTTTGAATCTTCTGATAATCCAACTGGAGGGACTGAAGTTGTGCCTGTTGTTAGTGGAATGAGTGGTGGCTCTGGCGGTGATGGCATGTTGAAGAGCAAATCAGGAAGTGGAGTGCTGAGTGAGCGCACTAAGCTAGCTTCATTTCTTTCCAGTGGTAACAAAGCAGAGTATGAACTTAAGCTTGATATTACAGCAGAAGAAGAGGTAAGAACCTACTTTCCATATTTTGAGCATTTTTTATAGTAATTTTATTGAGATAGGAACACTGTCTTGTGCTGTACTTTTGCATGAGGTGCAAAATAAGAGTTCTTGTACTCTGAAGAAGGGATGTGGAAGTTATAGTTCAATGGGTCATTGTAATTGTGATGTCTGCATTTTTCTGACAAGTTGGATACTGAATGATTGATGGTGAATGGGTTTCATTTTTGGCTCACCCTACCTTACTGGGAAATGGCCAGTGTGGTTAAAAGGAAAACCGATTCCCAGATAGAAAAATGGTGAAATTTCTTTTAACACATTTATTTTCAGTTCCTTTTATATTTTTATGATGAAAAGAATGAGAGAAACAAAGAAAGCATATTTGGATGCCAAATAATTTATGTACATGAATTGTAAATGAAATCAAGGGAGTTTTCCTTTTTGGATGTCAAAAATAATGTGTTTGAAAATTACTAAAATTCAGCATATTAATAGATAGGAGTATTTGAACTGATGTTAGTACAATTCTGACAAGACAGCAGTTGAGTATGATGGGGAATGCATTTCTCCTTTTCTTTTTTGGGGTCAATACCATGGTGGGAGACAGCTAGTGTTTTTAAAAATATATTTTATTAGGCTATATAATTCTACTCTATTCTAGAGAGTTCATTCCCAGTGCTTATCATTTTTAGGTCATTATTGGGTGATGGGCATTTTTCTTACAAGGGTAGATTTCTACAAGCTGGTTTAGTTTCACTCTCAGCTAAATAAAGCTAACATACATCACAAACAACCAAAGTGACATACTGTAATACAATCTTGATCTAGAAGAGTGAGACACTTGTGCAACATTTGTGTTCAGCCCATCAAGATTTTATGAATTGAGCACATCAGCTCCAGGCTGAGGGACTGATTACCTCAAACCCCTCCTCCTCATCTTCCACATTTATTCTCTGTATTGGACTGAAGAAGCCACTACCTGGCAAATATGTTTCCTCAGTAAAGATTCCTGTTTTTGCACAAGTGTCTCGTTCCTCAACTTGTCAGCTATCAAAACCATTTTTATCACAATCTTGATCAACTTGTATATTGTTCGATACTGTATATGAGGCAATCATTCAGTATCCAACATTAAACAAACTGTTTTCTTGCATTTGACAGCAGTTATCACTTTTCACACTTCCCTTAATTAAAACGTACCATTGCAAGTTCTTTCTCCTTTCAACGCACTGGCCGTATCCCACCAAAGCAGGGTGGCCCAAAAAGAAAAACAAAAGCTTCTCTTTTTAACTTTAGTAATGAATACAGGAGAAGGGGTTACTAACCCATTGCTCCCAGCATGTTAGTCGCCTCTTATGAAACACATGGCTTACGGAGGAAGAATTCTGTTCCATTTTCCCATGGAGAACCATTGTAAGTTATTTACTAAATTAACATCATTGTTCTCTTCAAAAATATTGGCATTCTGATCTTGCCATTTGTTATTCTAGTTCTAAAGTGTAAACATTATTTTTACGATTAATCGTTGAAAGATTTTATTTTTAAATGGGGTGCTGAAGCTTCCTCTTCAGTTAATAATTGCTTATGCCAGATGTACAGTGAAGATATATTTTTTAAATGTTGCAGGAGTGCCAGATAGAAGAGGCTCTGACAGTAGAGGTGTCAGGTGCATCCAGGGATGATTTGGTAGATACTGCATATGAGGCAAGAGAAAACCGCAATCTCTTTTCTCCTGTACCATACACACACTTACAGTGTCAGTGTCAGCAAGAACAGCAGCAACAACAGCAACATCAGCACTCTGTAGTGCTTGGAAGAGGTAGCTTAGTTGCAGGAAGTGGACAGTGTTCTTTATATTCCCCAAGTTCTCCATCCCATCATCCTCCTGGTCCCAGATCTGAAGGTGATGGCTGTGATATGAATGCTATCTCACTACATGAAAGTCGGAAGGATTCTTTAAATGGCATGTATCGTTTGGTTTGGTTTCACCCAATATAATAATCTTTAACATGTTTCTTGGTATGTGGTCTACAGTTGTCACTGGATGCTTTCTCATTTTTAATTGGCTGCCTTGTCTTTGGTTGTGTTAATATGATAGGTGGTACCACCCTTATTTGGTTATTCTATATAAATACTTAAGTGTTCTCTTGTTATTAATCTTTTTTTGTGATATGACATATGGTTAAAATAAGGTTGCATTACTGACATCTTAAAAAAAAAAATGAAACAAGTTTTTTCATTTCATAATTAAAAAATAATTCTTTTTCTTACCTAATATTGTAGTTGATGTAGAATACTTGTAGCTACAAAACTTATGGTAAGAATTTTCCTTATCTTAACCCTTAAATTGTAGCATAATTGGGAATTAAAATTCCCATGTATATGACAGAATTTTGAAAATTATTTTTGCTTAGATTGAAAGGCGTGTTCAAGTTGGAGAAAAAAGATCACTCGTGAGCAACATAAATGAAAATTCATATAGGGGTATTTGTTTTCCAGTTTATTAATGCCAAATTATGATTTATACAGACCTCTGCTTCACAGCAGTGCTTCCAGATGTGTCAGGGTTAGCAGCTTTATCACTAGTACATGTAATGGCCTCACTCAAGGGGTGGTGGGAAGTTATTCTGCCATGGCACTCCATTATGGTAATGCACCTCACTAACAGAAATGGCAATTAAACCCAGCAAGTCCTTATGAAAAAAATGCAATATAAATTGTATTTATATTTACCCTTCACTGCCCAGACTCCCAAAATTAATATTGCTCTTAGTGTAAAAGATCTTTTCCTGGAGGTAATTACTCCCAAAGTACAAAATTTGATGGAAATCTTACAGAATTACACAAGTGCAAAGTTAGTGGTCTGGGAGCAATTTACACAAAGGCAATTTTGCTCAGTTTGAGTCTTATTTTAAGTCAGTTCTATTGCTCCAAGCAACCAAATTCTTAGCTATTTCACTAGTGTGCCTTCCATTCTTTTGATTGAGCACAAAAAACTGATCAATTAATTATTGCAACTATCCTATAACATGCACAGAAATAGATAATTTGGCCAATTTTACACAAAAAAATATACCAGTTTAAAAATAGTCCAAAATAAACAATAAAAATATACCAGGCACTAAAATAGCATTTCCTCTGTTCATTAATCATGTTCCCAGGTCTCTCCTATATTACACTTGCCTTACATTTTGAATTCATAATTACACAAAAATAAAAGATTTACTCTATTTCTTGGATAAAATATAACAAGGAATGATTGGTCATGGTTTATAGCATCCCAATAATTGAATCAGACCTAGTAAAACCCATAAAGCATACTGGGTGGTGTCGGGGAGGCCTTACCTGTCCTCGGGAAAATTGGCAGATATCTAATATTTCCTCTACTTTGAGCCAAATTTCAAGCTACTTCCATTCTTAAAACCAACCAAAATTATCTCAATTTCAGTAGTATGTCTTCCATTTTATCAAATGATACCTAAAAACAGCCAATAAAACCATGAAAACCATACTAGAAACCTTGCTTATTATCTTAAGCCAAACACATGGTCAGAATTTTGTACTTCCCATCATGCACTGTGTGAGGCAGGATCTTCTTTTATACTGTGCGCACTCAAGACACAGACCCATTCTCTCAATATCTAGGCCAGAATTTACCACTCACAGCCTGAGTGAACTGAGCTTATGGTGTAGAACTACGTGAGGGACCCTGGCCTACATGACTTGGTTCTGTGTGACAGCCACCGAAAGGGTAAAGAACATGTTGAGACTTAAGAGCATGTTGCCCATAATGCTTAATGGTTCTGATAACTACCTTTGTTGAATGATGGCTGGTTTGAGAGGGATTGCTAAAACCTGTCCCCAGGTACATACCCCTTGTGTGCACAGTAGTGTTATGTAATATTATGTTGTTGCAGATGTGGAACTAATTCTTTCTTGTTGGCAAGACTTATAATTTCTTACCTAAGTTCACAGTGGTTGTAGTCCTGTATTTTTGAATTCCATTAAATCAAGGGTGTACAGAATATAAAGAAAATAAATTCTCTCTTCATTTTAAGTAATCTTTCATCAGAGGAAGAGGTGGGTGCCTCCTGGGAAGATTGGCCATTGTCTGTTGGACTTATGGATGCTTTAGTGGAGATCTTATCCCCTTATGACCACCCACTTACTCACCAACCGTGCGTCACACTGCTCTCTCTCACTCTTGCCAGAATTGCCCACAAATGGCTGCAGGTACTGTAACACGTTCATACATTGTAATGAAAGTTTATTGATACGTACACAGATTACTAACAATCAACCTGTAATATCAAATTAACATTTAAGCATTTTGGTGTACACTATATAAGTAAGCTACAAACAACTAAGAGTGTAAAAAGATGTTATTCTAAGCTTTAATATTTTTTTTATTACTGCTTTTTAGACATGACCATTTATATTACAATGTTGTATTTTTTTTTTTAACACACTGGCCATCTCCCACTGAGGCAGGGTGACCCTAAAAAGAAAAGAAAACACTTTCACTATCATTCACACTGTCACTGTCTTTGGGCAGATATGACAGATTAGATGTCACTAAACAGCAAATATTCCAAGCTCCTCTAAAGTGCAAACATTGTACTTCCCACCTCCAGGACTCGAGCCTAGCTAGCCAGTTCCCCTGAATCCCTTTACACAATATTACTTTGCTTATGCTCCAACAGCTCATCAAGTCCCAGGAGTCATTTGTTTCCACTCCTGTCTAACATGCTCACACATGTCTGCTGTATGTCCAAGCCCCTTGCACACCCTTTTGTTTTTTTTACCCCCTCCCTCCACCCTTTCCTAGGATGATCCCTACCCCTCCTCCCCTCCAATACAGATTTAAACACCCTCCAAGCCATATTTTGCTCCATCCTTTCTAAATGACCAAACCACCTCAACAGTTTTGCTCTCTCCTCTCTAAATGACCAAACCACCTCAATAATTTTGCTCTATCCTCTCTAAGTGACCAAACCACCTCAACAATCCCTCCTCAGCCCTTTGAACAATACTTCTAGTAACTCCACACTTCCTCCTAATTTCCACACTATGAATCCTCTGCATAATATTCGTCACACATTGCGCTTAGACACAACATCTTCACTGCCTGCAGCCGCCTACTTGCTGCAACATTCACAACCCACGTGAATATTGTATATTCCAACTTAAATCTTCTAAACTCTGCAGTATTTTAGATTCTTAAAGCATTTGCTCCTCTTTTATGGATGAAAGCTTTCACTAGTATTATTGTTTTTATTAGTAGTTTGTAAAGATAACCTTTTTTACAGTGGCACTTTATTACCAGAGTTAAAAATCATATTCAAACAAATATTTAAAATATAATATATGATACAATGTTGGCATAATCCACATGGTAGTATTTTTACTAAGCATACTAGGCAAGACTTCAGCTAACACCGTGTTATATATTCAATACAGTGGTACCTTGGTATACATCCGCTATGGAATAAGTCCAACTTGCTATATGTCCTGTTTGGACATGAAAATTTTTGCTTGGTATATGACCTTTGTTTGGAATACGACTCGCATGCTAGAACTTGCATGGGTCACAATGAGTCACAACGAGTCGCAACACTGTGCACTACCCTTGTTTACCTCTCTCTCTAGACAAAGCCAGGATATTGCCTCTCTGGGCAAGTCCATGGGTCTGGATGTGAGTGATGGTGATATGGAGGAGTTAGTGGAGGGGTACAGGGAAGAGCTGACCACTGAGGAGCTGCAAGAACTTGAGAAGGAGCACAGGACTAAGATGGATGCACTCTTTTCAGGCTCAGAAGAGAAGATAGAGGAAGCCCCTATTTCATTAATCAAGGAAATCTTTGCCAAATGGATGGACGTCAAAAACTTTGCAGGGAAGTACCACCCCAACAAAGCCCAAACAAGCTGTAATAGCATTGTCTGGAATGACCAGACAGTCACGTTTCCAAAACATCCTGAGAAGAAAGCAAAGCAAAGTTCTTCGGACAGATTTTTAGTAAAAGTCAAACCTGGTGAGCTTCAACCAGGTCCAAATAGGGAAAAGAGACAGAAAAGAGAAGGGGACTCTCCTTCCAAACAATAACATTTCCTCCTCCTCCCTTCTCAGCACTATCCTGGTAGACACTCAACTCTTTTTAGCAAAGTAAAGTGAGGTTAAATTTGCATTTATTTCATCTAATTCTTTTATATTTATGTATATATTTTAGTATTAGGTAGTGTTTAAATTACATATTTTAGTATTGAGCAATGTTTAAATTATTTTATACAACTCCATCAATGTATAATATGCCAATAACAATAAGTTTTTTTTTTTCATGGGAACATATTAATTGTTTTCCCTATATTTCTTTTGGAAAAGTTCATTTGGTAAAAGTCCAAGGTCCTGAACTTGTTAAGGATGTATATCAAGGTCCCACTGTATTTTCTAAGAAGTACAAGACAAAACTAACTGCTGTGTTCAAATGCTGCCATACTTCCTGAACATATGATAGCCAATTTCTACTAAATTTTCTCTGGTTTTCCTAACTAAACACAAGAAAATTAATTGAATGATCTAACTTTTGAAGGTTTTATACCACTAAAGCTAAATTTGTAATTTCTCACCCGTAACCCTCTTGCCTTCCATCCCAGATTTATACACCCTCTTAGTTAACCTTCTCTTCTCCATCCTCGCTTATGTACAGACTACTTCAACTCTTCCTCAGCTCTGAATTATACCCACAGTCACCTCGCATCACCTCTTAATTCGTATGCTCTGAATTCTCTGAATGATATTCTCACCACACATAGCTCTTAAACATGACATATTCACTACCTCTAACCTGCTTCTATCTGCAGTGTTCAAAACCCACTCCTCACATCATGTAAATGTGTTGGTACCACTATGCTCTAGAACATATCATTTTTGCCTCCTTAAATTAAATTCTTTCCTTCCACAGATACCTCAGTAAACCACTATCCTTTTTTCCCCTCATCTATTCTGTGTTTCACCTCATCTTTCATAAACCCATCTTCTTTATTATCTTAAAACATCCATTTTATCTATACTTTGTCCTTCCAATATATTATTCAGTTTATCATTGCCTAGACTTTGTTACCCATCATCACTTTGCTCTTTTCCATTTTACTTAATTTTCCTTTTATACACCATCCATAGTTTGTCCATCAACCTTCGCAACTTTTTTTTTCAGAATCCCCTCAAAAAAGTTATTAAAGAAAGGAATGCCAGAATGTTGAGGAGAGGTGTAGCATTAATCGACTGCAGTGCCAAAGGGAAGCTCGGGGTCGATTCAAATACCTTCAAAGTCTTCCCCCCAAGTAAAAATAGTAATTAAAAATGCTGCTTCAGAACAAGGCTCCTAGCTCCTCTTTCCCATCAAATATTGAAATTTTGGTGCTGCCCCTGGAATTAAAAGATGATGAATCTAATTCAAAGTGCCAGTGACTCCTTTCTCTGGGAGATTCTGAAGAGAAACTGCAAATGTTGGTAGATAAATTTAGTAAAAGAAGGAAATTGAAAGTAAACAGAAAAGATCAAAGTGTTGAGGGTAACAAAAAAGTCTAGGCAGTGAAAGATTAAATATCAGATTAGAGAAAAGAAGTAAAGTGGAAGTGGATGTATTTAAATATTTGGGAGTGACCATATCAACAGATGGGTCTATAAAAGATAAGGTGATTATTATAATCAAGGGGGAAGCGCTAAACCCAGAGGATTATACAGCGCCTGGGGGGGGGGGGGATGTGGAAGGCATTCAGGCTTAATTTGGGAAACTGAAGCACAGATCCAATTCCCTAAATCAAGAGCCCTTCACCAACATCAAGGAACCTTCCTTGAGGGGAAAAGATAAGGTGAATCATAGAATAGATGGAGGGGGGTAAGGTGGGTGGTGTTAATTAAGACATCTGTGGAAAGATAAAAGTTTATCTTTGGAGTGTGAGCCATGGGTTTTGAATGCTGTAGTGAGGAGATAGCAAGAGGCAGTGGGCATGTCACGTTTTAGAGCAATGTGTAGTGTATGTATGAAGAAAAATCAGAGCAAAGAAATTAAAAAGTAATGTAAGGTCAGCAAAAGAATAATTCAGTGCTGAGGAGACGTTGTTGAGGTAGTTAATGCATTTAGAGAGAATGAAGTGGGATAGATTAATGAAGAGGGTATATAAATCTGGGGTGGAAGGTAGGAAGGGTAGGGGTTGTCCCAGGAATGGTTGGAGGGAGTGGATAAAAGAGGTTGTGCTATAGGCTTAAATATACAGCAGGCTTCTGTGAGTATGTTAGATCAGAGTGGAGAGGAGATAAGTGGATTTTTTATGGCCTGATGTACTGTTTGGGTATGAGCAACGTAACAGAGGTATATGAAGAATGGCAGTGCCTGCACTCTGAAGAGTCACCTGAATTGTGAGGTCAGGATGCTTCTGCCTAGACAATGAGTGGAGACGTATGGTTTTTGGGACCTGACGAGCTGTATGGGAGTGTGAGCATGGTAATATTTTGTGAAGGGATTCAGGAAAACCAGTTAGCCAGACTCAAGTCCTGAAGGTGGGAAGTACAATGCCTGTACTCTAAAGGAGGGGTTTGGGATATTTGCTGTTTGGAGGGACATCTTAATTGTCATATCTGCACACCTCTGGAAAGACTGATAGTGTGAATGATGATGAAAATGTTTCTTTTTTGGGTCACCTGCTTTGATGAGAGCCAGCCAGGTTGTTAAAAAAAAAATTCACCCTTTCTGTGGGAGATTTTTTTTTCTAAGAATGTGTTTTAGTTATTATGGCCTGTGTTTCATAAAGCAAAGTTGGTATCATGAGCAAAGAATACAATCTTAATATTTTGGGTGTTATTTGGTAGGCCACTAATATAGTGCAGAAGAGAAGTGGGGCCAAGATGCCACCTTAAGCAATGCCTATATTCATTACTAGAGTAGCTGATGAAAATCATTTATAGTTAATGGTGAAGCTTGTTGCTTACTAAGGTAAGATTGAAGGCAGTAGTATATGTGCTTTTGCAGCTCTAGTACTTTTCTTTGAGAAGTACATTTGATATACAGCATCAAAAGTCTTTTGCAGATAAAAATTTAAATAGGATTTAGTAATTATTCAATGATTCATCAATCCCAGTAGTGAGCAAAAGGGTCACTTTCAGACATTCACCGAATAGTAAATCTCAGATTATGTATTTGAAGTCGAGTACAGTACTAGAAAACAAACCATACCACGGGCGGAGATAGAACCCGCGATCAGGGAGTCTCAAAACTCCAGCAAGTCGCGTTAGCCACTGGACCAGCTAGCCATGGGGTTCTATCCCCACCCGTGGTATGGTTTGTTTCCAATCGTGTCATTACGATTTTGTGAGTCGCTAGAAAACAATTTATGATATCTGCTCTGTTGGCAAAGTATGTGTTATAAAAATAATTTAATTTGTGCATGTGCATGTCTTTGATTTCTGTTTATCAATGATGTGAATGTGTCTTAAGTTAATTCATAGAGAATTGATTATATCATAGAACTTGATACTCTAATTTTGCACTTTCAGTTCAATAATTAATGTTTTTTATTTATTTTAGGCTGAATTGGATCGTTTATTTTGTGAAAGTAATACAATAGAGTACATTCAGAGCTTGAGAGAGGCAGTATTAGCATCTTCAAAAGACAACCCTCGACCTCCACCATCTCCAGAGGAGGTGGCAAAATCACGCATGAAATTACAGGAAGCACTAAAGGATTTCATTCCAGGTAAGTCAAACACTTTACTGCCAAGGTGCAAGGTCCTCATCCAGCAAGGGAAGCTCCTTTGCTAGCTGCAATTATCACTTTGTACGTTCTTAATTTCGTTAATGGGCCTTGCCTCCTGTGATGCCATTCCTACTTCCA